TGGGAAATAGTATGTCTTTTAGATTTCCAAGAGACCAATGAATCGCGTATGAAAATACAAAAACTAGTGGTAGATTTTCATGTGTCACTACAAGATCCCAGTCTGCATCGGAGAATGCCTGAAGCTTGATGGTTGAATCAAATCTGAAAATGGATGAGAAAAGAAGAAGAGGCCTTGGCCAGGACTCCTTTTTCAAATAATGAAGAAGATAATAAACTGCTCTAAGATATGGTAGCCTAGCTTGATACATGTATTGGCTTAACTTGTACACTGCAAATGTGATATCTGGTTGGGAAAGAGTCAAGTAGATCAGTCTCCCAATCAATTTCTTGTAATGTGAGGCATTTTAAAACAAATCACCATCATGTATACTGAAAGTTGCTTTTGGATCCGTAGGATTGTTTACAGATTTACAATCCAAATAACCTGTATCCTCAAGTAGTTGCAATGCATATTGCCTATGTGAGATGACATTACCTAATGCTGCATGGGCAATTTCAGTTTCCAATAAGCACTTCAAACATTCTAGATCCTTGAGCTTGAATTGAGAATATAAAAACACCTTTAATGAATCAATGACTTAAATGTTAAGCTCAGTAATGACAATATCATCAACATATACTAAGAGGCTACAAAGTTATCATCTGAGCCTTTAGTGAATTGGGAATAATCTGCCTTAGACTAAGTGAAGCCAATTGGATGAGAGCGTGAGAGAACTTAGAATTCCACTATCTTGAAGCCTACTTAAGGCCACATATAGACTTGTGCAATTTACGAACTACCTTATTCTCCTGTTTAACAAGTTTATGAAACTCATAGCCAAGTAGAAGGTCCATATAAACTTCGTTAAATAAGTCCCAATTCAAGAATGCACTATTCACATCCAATTGGACTAAATGCCATTTATGGCAAGCTGCAAGAGCAAGCATTACTTTGACAGTCACTATTTATGCAACTAGGGAAAAAATATCAAAATAATCCAACCCTCTTGTTAAGTATAGCCCTTTGCAACAAGGCATGCTTTGTGCCTCTCGAGGGAACCATCTGATTTATGTTTGTTTTTATATTTCCAACTACAACCCATTAAATGTTCCCAAGTGGTAAATGAAGAGTGAATTGTCCAAATAGTCATTAAACCTTACATCAGGTTTCCATGATGTCACTGAACTTTAAAAAACCATTTCATTTATTACTAAACTTTCATTTCGTAACCTCATTAGTCACCGAGCTCAAATTCTATTTAAAAATTGACCAAATGCTAACACGGCTTGCTAATGTGTCAATTAATGGCTGCCAAGTCAAGCAAATGCTATACACATGGATTTTCTTGAATTAAAACATGTTATATATAAAAAAACCAAAAAAAGGGAGGGGGGCGGGGGAAAAACTGAACTGAGTCTGAGTTCAAACTTCAAAACCACGTCCATCGCCACCATCCTGCCACCTAGGCCGCTGGGTATCACCACCATCGGTATCGGCCTCACCGACCACCATCCCCGCCTCACGCTGTCCCCAAAAACACCCCAGTAACCACCAAACCTTTCAAAATTCGCGGCCAAAAAACTTAGCGGCAACCATCCTTCAGGTAACACCCATCACGGTCAACACATATTGGCCTCTTCTACACTTCAAGCTGTATCTAATCATGGTTTCATATCATCAAATAGTGCATCAATTCAAATTTTCAGGCTCAAAAAAAGGGAAAAGCACGCACACACCCACTCCGCACCCTAGATGAATTCGCCTCCAATTGACGGGAAAAATGATGTCATTGCTACAAATTGGACCCAGTAGAACCTTCAGGGGGTTAATACAACCTTGGGCAACTCCTCAATTGAATCAATCAATCCACTACTTGCTCCAATTTTCTAAATTAAAAATCTGCCAAAATTTTTTTCCTTTGATATGCGAATTTACTCTCAATTGGTGGTGGCATGTGGTTTACGGTGACTATTGGTGGTGGTGATGGTGGTGGTTGATTGAGGAGAGAAATTGAGATATCTTCGGCAAATTTGGCATTTTGCTGTCTTCTGCTGGTGCGAATTTGCTGCATTTCACTGTTTCGGTTCAGATTTTGGTTTTTTTTGAGTGAGTTTTGCGCCACGTCAGCAAGCCATGTTAGCATTCGGTCATGTTAGCAAGCCATGTCAGATTCGATGACTAACGAGATTACAAAATGAAAGTTTAGTGATGAATGATGTGATTTTTAAAATTCAATGACCTCGTGGAAACCTGGGGTAATGTTCAGTAACTATTTGGACAATTCACTCGGTAAAGGAAAAATGAACCTAGTTTGATTAAGTTCTACAGCCTCTAGCTCAACTTTCATAGCATCACGCCAATGAGGAAATTTAATAGCTTGATGAAAAATCTGTGCTCAAACTAGGATGATACATTCCATATTAAGTGTTGATGAGGATAAGACAGATTGTTATAAGAAATAAAGTGTCTAATGTGATGAGAAGAATGAGCGCTAGACTGATTACTGTGAAAAATTAAATTGCAATAGAAGTCTCTAAGGTATTTGGGAGGTCTAAAGACTCTTTGGGACTTTCGAATGTCAGTGTTTGAAGATAAATTTGGGTGCAATTTATCTGGGTCAATATGAGTAATTGAAAATTCATCGGGTGGAGTAGGATTACTAGTAATAGACATATCTTGAGGAATGGATAAAGAATGAGAGGATAAAACCAAATCAGGAAAGGGATCCATCATATGATCAGCTTCCATAACTATATGAAATGGGAATATCTCTTCATGAAACATGACATCCCTTGAAATAAAAATCTACTTTGATGACACATCAAAGAGTTTATAGGCTTTAATTCTAGATGGATAACCTAAATAGACACACATCCTGGCTCTTGGCTAAAATTTGTTTCTCTGTGTAGTAAGTGTGGATGCAAATAACATCTAAAGACTCTTAGAGAGTAATCAGTCGAACTATCATGTAACCTTTCATACGGTGTTTTACATTGTAAAAGAGAAAATGGAGTTCTATTGATTAAGTAAGCTATCGTCAACAGGCATTCTGACGAAATTTGATAAGGACTCT